TCTCTACATTTCACCTTTGACTGTATAACTCATCTATATCCTAACAGTTGCTGCAATCACTTGCAACACTTGTGGGATGTTTGTCTTCTTGCCAAGAGATATGGGGAACTTCACCTGCACCAAATACAAGTTCATAGCCTCCTGGAAGAGAAAGGCAAGCAGCTGGAGGCCCGGGTAGCTACACTTCAGCATATTAGGGAGCTAGAGGTTGTCCTGGATAGAGCGGAATGAACAGTCTTGGATGGGGACCACACAGAGGAAGTTGTTGAGGAGGAGGTCACTTCATGCACACAGGAGGTGGACACCTGGAGGAACATCACACAGAGAAATAGAGAAACCAGGGATCGTTCTGGGAGCTTTCAGCTAAAGAATCGATTTCAAGCTCTCTCCCATATCAAGAATGAAGAGGAAGAACAGCAGGGACAGTCCTCAGGGACAGTGCAGGGGACCCTAAGAGTACCACCCCAGGGAACAGCCACTGCTAAGCCTCAGAGGAGGCGTATAGTGGTGGTTGGGGACTCCTTGTTGAGGAGTACAGAAGCGGTGGTTTGTGGGCCTGACAAGATGTCCTGAGAGGTGTATTGTATCCCTGGGGCAAAAATCTATGATGTGACAGTGAGGTTGACAAGACTTGTCAAGCCTACTGACCATTACCCCTTCCTCTTGGTCCATGTGGGAACCAATGATACAGCAAGGCATAGTCTTCAGAATATCAGAAGGGATTATGAGGCTTTGGGTAGGAAGCTGAAAGAGCTGGATGCACAGGTTGTTATCTCATCTCTTCTCCCAGTTGAAGGGCATGGTCCAGGAAGGGAGAGGAAGGTAGCAGATGTGAATAACTGGCTCCACAGATGATGCCACCATGAACGATTTAGATTCTTGTATCATGGGCTGTGGTTCCATGAGGGTGGACTTCTAGCAAGAGATGGGCTGCATCTCACACCAGTTGGCAGAAACATTTTTGCCAACGGTCTCAAACATTTGATCAGGAGGGCTTTAAACTGAGTCATGGTGGGGAGGGAGACAGTATCTTGGAAGGTATCTTGGAAGGCAGGAGTACATCATGGGCTGGAGATAATAGTCAAAGTGTTATAGAGGGAACAAAGCAAATGATGCAAGGGCCCAACAGTGGGAGGAAAAAAAACCTCACTCAGGCAGGAAGTGGGGAGGACACATAGTCTTAGATGTCTCTACACTAATGCACAGAGCATGGGAAATGAAAAGGATGAACTTGAACTCCTCGTACAACAAAGCAAATATGATATAATAGGCATCACTGAAACCTGGTGTGATGAGTCTCATGATTGGAATGTCAGAATAGAGGGATATAACCTGTTTAAGAGAAATAGGCCAAACAGGAAAGGAGGAGGAATAGCATTATACGTCAAGGATGTGAACATCTGTGAAGAGATCCAGGACTTAAATCCTGGAAATCAGGTGGAGA